AGCTCGTAAGGGGGCTGCAGGTGTGGTGGAGTAAGCACAGGTGGAGGCAGGCATTCTCTTCACCTGACGTGCAATGTCCTTACAAAAACCCACAGTGATGGCCGCACAGGCCGGTGGCATGAACGACCAAAAACAAACTTGTACAAACAAATTAAGAACTGTAAAAAAACAAAGGAAACTTAAATGAATGAATAAATCAACTAAACAAAATCCCACAGGCTAGCCCCGTGGCTGTTGGGCTACTGGCCAGCCTTTACTCTTGCCGCTCCACCTTGAGCTCCTCTTCAGGAGTAAAACTCAGGCTTACAAAGCTTAAGCTCCTTCCCCAGAACAAACCACGCAAGTGGTGATGTTATGTCTGGCACTGAAACCCTGAGGCCTGTGTTGATTAAAAGGGGCGTGTCCAAATGAAACCAGTGTCGAGGTCCGTTAATATCACATGACCAAAGATAAACGAGGCCCCGTTTCTCTGAAATGTGCGACTGCCTTGTTATGTGATTCGAGCTGATGAAAAGACCTGGGAATTAGTTTTATGCATGAACGGGATCTAAGTGATTCTGAGGATCATCACGAGCGTGCACGGAGACTGTTAGCACATTATGGAGCCACCAAAACGAATAAATATCAGCAGTTAGGAAGCTTTTTGACATGCTATCGCCCAATAATGACATCATCTTCAATCAGTCTCAGAGAGGAGGTTATTTAGGTAGGTGTGTGAGAATGGGTGAATGACTGAATGTGTAAAGCGCTATACAAATACAGGCCATTTACATTCCAGACAACTCAACAGAGCTACAATTTAGTCAGTCTACAAAGAGCTGAAGCTGAGACTTTATGTTCTAGAGCTCAAACTTTAACTAAGGACCTGCCTCAGACACAATCATTCCACAATTTTAAATGCAGTAAGAGTCCAGAGTTTATCGTCATCACTTTCTTTTTGCATGTGTCCCTGTCTTTCTCCAGAACTCCCACAGCATTATGTCTGTAAGAAGAGGAGCTCCAGTGTGGACCAGGAGGAACCAGAAGCTCCACAGATTAAAGAGGAACAGGA